TTGATCCCAACAGGAGCACATTAAGTAGAGAAGGAGGAGGGTAGTGATTCTGGGAAGGGGAAAACCTGGTAGCACACTATGTTAAGCATAAGGAATCGTTGTTACAGACTAATGAATGCCATTTCTTCCCTTCTGAATTAGTTACTGTTAAGTGTGTGTTTTTTGGCCTCACCTAGACTGATGGAGCTTCTTTTTTTTTTTTTTTTAAACATTTTATTAGGGGCTCATACAACTCTTATCACAATCCATACACACATCAATTGTGTAAAGCGCATTTGTACATCATTCTCAAAGCATTTTCTCTCCATTTAAACCCCCGACATTAGGTCCTCATTTTTCCCCTCCCTCCCCGCTCCCCCCTCCCGCATGAGCCCTTGATAGTTTACAAATGGGTATTTTGTCATATCTTGCCCTGTCCGACTTCTCCCTTCACCACTTTTCGGTTGTCCGTCTCCCAGGGAGGAGGTCACATATAGTTCCTTGTAAACGGTTCCCTCTTTCCTACCCACTCTCCCTCTACCCTCCCTGTTTTGCCACTCACACCACTGGTCCTGTAGGGCTCATCCGCCCTGGATTCCCTGTATTTTCAGTTCCTATCTGTACCAGTGTACATCCTCTGGTCTAGCCAGACTTGCAAGGTCGAATTTGAGTCATGGTAGTGGGAACTGGGAGGAAACATTTAGGAACTAGAGGAAAGTTGTATTTTTCATCATTGTTAGATTGCACCCTGACTGCCTCATGATGGAGCTTCTTAATGAGAAACACATACCAACATTTCCTGATCCAGATTTTTGTTCTAGAGTTGAACTTGACAGGCTCTGATTCCAAGGAGCCGTGAAAAAATATCAAAATCAAAACACTTGTCTTCTGATTAAACTGAAAGTAGAAAGATAAAAGTATATGTGGAAAAATTGAAGACAGTTGCAAAACAACAAACTAATGATATCACCCCTGTGTCCTGTGGTACTATGTCCTTTTAAAAGGATTACCCTTGATACCTTCAATGCTGTTAACATCCCACAGTGATCATTTTCATATTCAGTTATTACTGGTGCAAAATGTGAACTCAGCAAGATATCGCCAGACCACGTTGCAATGATTTTGTTTTGTGAGTCATTTGGATTCTTTGTAAGCAATTGAAAAAGCACAGGGGGAGGACTATGTTTGAAGGAAAGTAATTCAGAACCGCAGTCTTTCTCTTAAGGATGCTCCGCAAGATAGCAGCATCTCTTGACTTCATTTCTACTCAAAATCAAATTCTCAAGAGAGATTCTGATTGGTTTAGGTTGACTCAGCTTTCCTCTGGTTAAGTTAATCACTGTGGCCAGATGAATGATTACCAAGATTTGCAAAGTAAGGGAAAATAAGATGGGCTGGTCATATAAAAGCTATAGATGACCTGGGCTTTCTTTCATATGAGAAAATAAGAAATGCAATAATAGTTCTGGGTTGTGCTTGCTGGTAAATTACTTCCAAAACAGTAAAACTTTCTAGACTTCTAATGTTGTTCTGTATAAAATTAGGATTTAAATAGGGTTTTTTGTTTGTGTATCTTTCAAAATTTAAAATGGTTAAAAAGAGATTCTAAAATACCTTTGAATCATTAAGGATATTTTCCATATTGGCATTTTTGATCTGGAAAACAACACTGATCTCATAGCCTTTTTCATCCCATGAAAATGAATAATGAGCACATTCTATTTATACAGAACATCACAGCTCTGGTGCTCCAAGGTTACAGAGCTCAACTGTTAACCAAGAGGAGTGGGAGGTTTGAGCCCAGCAGCCACTCCACCGAGAAAGATGTGTCAGTTGCTTTGAAACTATGGGGGCTGTTCTGCCCTTTCCTTATGGGGTTATGAGTTGGAATCAATGACCACTGGTTTCATTTGGTATAGTACATACAACTATGATCGAAGTATTTGTAACAAGCTACATGTGTAACTGGGAATTTAGCAAAACAGCAAGAAGTTGTGCCAAGTAACAATATATATATTATATATATGAAAACAAGTGTGGCTTGGGGAATTGTATGTTCATGTTAAAAGTTGAAGGAGCTCTGGTAGTGTGGTGGGTTATGAGTTGGGCTGCTAACCACAAAGTGAGCAGTTTGAACCCACCTACCACTCTGAGGGAGAAAGATGAGGTTTTCTATTTCCGTTAAGATAGTCTCACAGACCCATTCTCAGAAATGTCCTGCAGTCACTGTGAGTCAGAATCAACTCAATGACAGTAAAAGTAGATATAAATGCGTGTGTTCCCAATACTCACTCTCATTCAAGTTAATTCCAACCTCTTTATCTATTCCAATTCCAACTAGTGGATTTGAACTTCTAATTAGCAGCCCAGTGTGTAACTAACTCACTACACTACGTGTGTGTACCCAGATAGGAGATAGGTATCGCCAAGTATTTATATAACCCATCATATCTCCCCAGTGTTATTATAAAGAATGGGTAAACATGATGAAATCTACTCTTATCCTGGAGCATACTACATAGATCTGCCCTGTGAGAAGCAGCTTCATCACAAAGATGGAAACGTACACATTATCCATGAGGGTCACTATGAGTGAGAACTGAGGAGATGGCAGTGGATCGGTTTGTTAGGAAAGCAGGTGAGGTGGTGGCTAGCATTGATGCTCTTCATGTATGAAACCTCTTTATTTTGCTATCTGTTTATACATAAGACCCCTCCTTGTACTAGGAAAAACATGTTTAAAAAAAATTGTTTGAGCTCTTGAGATGGATTTTGCAAAGATCATGTAATTTTAGTCTAGGTCACTTCTTCCAAATAGACACTTCAAATTTGACGCTTTAACTATCGTATTTTATGAAATATGAGGATAAGTCAAAGTATTGCTGTAAGCCAAAGAATCATTTTTTATTAAACAAAACAATGAAAATATGAATACATTAATTTCTCAATGTATCTTCTATCTAGGTCTATATACTTCTGAAGGTGGTATTTCCGTCTCTAGCCTTCCTTAAGGAGTTCTGTGATCTTCAAATTAAACCACGTCAAGATGGCAGTGGGGCATCCTCAGGGGCCTCACGTTGTGTCCCTTTACAATGTTCTTTTGAGTTTGGGGAACAAAAAGAAGTCTGAAGAGTAAGATCAGGGCTGTGGGTGGATGGGGTAAGGTCTCCCAGTGATATTGTTGTAGGACAGCCCGGCTGCCATGCAGAATAATCAGGTGCAATTGTTGTGGTGTTGGAAACAAATTCCTCCGAAGAAATTTCCTGGCCGTTTCTGAGCAGTGCAATTTTCCATTTTCTTAAAACTCCTCCTTCATAATAAGCCCCTGAGTTCATCCTGTGGCCTTTGAGAAAATCTATCAAGATTACCTTTTTGAAATCTCTAAAAAAACCTGTTCCCATAACCTTATGAGCTTACTTCTCTGCCGTGAATTTAACTGGCCCTGCAGATCCCCGCAGAAGCACTGTGTGCATGGGACCTTGCTCTCTGGACTGACTTGGTATACCTAAGACTCCTTCCTGGTTACGATTTGTTACGTAAAATTGTCTCTGTCCGTTTTGATCTTGGTTGAAATCCAGATGGAAGCAGCTCCTTGAACGAGTTCATCTTCGAGCCGCGCTTTGGGTACGCATCCAGACAAAAGCTTGCTGAGGCCACGCTTTTCACGTAAAACTGAAAGTGCCAACCTGTGTGAGACCGCATCTTCTGTGGCGATCACAGCAGTGGTGATCCTCCTCTCTCCTCCCACCTGTTTCTAGACTCAGCCACAGTTTCTTCGGTCTTCAAGGTTGATGGTTTTCCTCTCGTGGCTCATCAGAGACAGTTTCCCTAATCACAGAAATGTAGGAGAAAAAAGCCTAATATTGCCATGAGAATTAGAGTAAAGAATAGTTTACAGTGAAGGAAATTGAAGAAAACAAACCATAAAAACAAGAATTTTCTTTAGTGAGTTATTTTAAGAAAATTAAGTTAAAGCCAATATGCTCCTTTGGTATATTATGTTTTAGGATTATATCAGATTATATCAGAGTGGATGTTAAATTTACACACATGTAAAATAATATGTACTAGGTCATTTGTGGAAACATTGTAATAGCAAGAAATACCTTTTAATTTAATAAATTTTACACATATGCGCAAAGGAATACAGTACAACAGTTAAAAGGATGATTATGGAATAAGCAATAAGATTTATTGAGTGAAAAAAGCCAGCAGCGTATGCATTGTTTGCTACCACTTATATAGATGGAATAAGACTATATGTGTCTTTATGTTTAAATTACCTCTTAATCCTCAGTAACCTTGGACCTCTTATGATTTGACCTTTCATATTGATTATGCATATGCTAACTTTATAAAGTCAAAGATTCATCATAGGTTTGTAGTATGACTCTCAGCTTTAGAGATCCCTTGTCCTAAGGGTATTATTTTAGCCCAAGTTGAGTAGGTTCCAGGGACCTGTCACTAACCAATCTCATAAGAGAGTTTTATAAATTGATAGATTAGAACCTCAAGATAACCAATATTTGGGGGAATGTAGTTACTTGGATTGCTTGGTTGAGAAATTTCTTGACATCTTACATGATGTCATTCATGTAAGAACACAAACTTCAGGTCATAAAGTTGCTTGGCACAGTAGTAAGACTGTGGGAATTATATGAATATGTACATCAAATTAAAGTAATTATATAATTATGCATCTCTGAGAGGTATTACTATGTAGATAATTGTTACAAATATTAGGAGCATGTCTTCCTATCTTCCTGGGACAGGAACTCTCTAATTTTCAGATTACTGTATTTCAGGAATGATCATGCAAGTACCAATTGTGCTCTATTGTGAATGGAGGGAAAGACAGCCAAACAATTCTGAAACCAGTTTCCTGGACTGGTTCTGACTACAAGTATTTACATTTCTTAAGTGACACATTAACAGAAATTATTATTAATTCAGTCAGGAAGGAGATGTATTATCTGTCATTAATTGTGTTAGGCTCATTTTTCACTTATGTTATGTTTCAGGGAGGAAATAATGCTGGCCATACAGTTGTTGTAGATTCTGTAGAATATGATTTTCATCTTTTACCCAGTGGAATAATTAATCCCAACATAACTGCATTCATTGGTAAGTACATATTGTTAACTGAACTGCTTGGGGAATTTTTCCCCGCAAATGATAATGGTATTCATTTTTATTCAAAACTGATTTCATTTCTCACCAATCAGTTTATGTATCTCTTACACATGGTGGCCATGTTGCTTCTGGAACATACCTAATTTTGGCTCTTGAAGTCTTTTGGACATTTTTATAGTGCTACTTTTGGGATGATTACTTTGCATTTGCATATCTGTGATTGTCGGCAGTCTTAATTCTATTAAGAAATATGATCAAATTAGGATTTCAAGTACTTTGATTATGAACCTGAGTAAAAAATACAGTAGGGACATGTTATATAGAATGAATCCGACTACCTGTGGTACACTGATATTTTCTCATTTGTAAGAAATGTTAGTTGGTTTTATTTGCACTAATTGAGTGTGATTCTTCAACTTGAAAGACATGTAGAGTCTACTATTCTTTTATGCTCTGGTTTGACCTGCCTAAAGCTACATAACTAGTTTCTTTAAAAATAACTAACTTGCTTCAGGGATAAATGTGAAAATGTTAAGTATAATTTTGGTTTTATATTCTATTATTTAAAAAAAAAATTGAACAACTCACTGCAGTCAAATTGTTCCTGACTCTTAGCAATGCTTTAGACCAGGGGTCCTCAAACTTTTTAAACAGGGGGCCAGTTCACTGTCCCTCAGACCCGTTGGAGGGCCGGACTATAGTTAAAAAAACTATGAACAAATTCCTGTGCACACTGCACATATCTTATTTTGAGTGAAAAATCAAATGGGGCAAAAACACCCGGCGGGCTGGATAAATGTCCTCGGCAGGCCGCATGTGGCCCGGGGGCTGTAGTTTGAGGACGCCTGCTTTAGACTGTAGTAGAACTTCCCTTTTGGTTTTCCAAGGGTGTAAATCTTTATGGGAGCAGAAAGTCTCATCTTTCTCGTTTGGAGTGTCTAGTGGATTCAAACTGCTGACCTTGAGGTTAGCAGCCCAACATGTAACCCATCATACCAGCAGGACTCTATGTATCAATTATATTATGTCATTATGTTCCACTACTGAAAACTTAAAAATCATTTCTGTGCTAGTTTCTTGATAAAATCAGAATGTCCCATTAATCTGTCTCATTCCTATACTTTTTAAAAGAAAAGATAATTAATGCCTGTATTATAGTATAACATATGTGGTGGTATAATGGCTGAGTATTTGGTCATTAGCAGAAAGGTTGGTGGGTAGAACTTACCCAGCCACTCGGCAGAAGAAAAGACCAGGAGATCTGCTCTTGTAACATTGTTCTTACGTTATAAGGTGCCGTCAAGACCGTCATAACTCATAGCTACCTTATGTCCAACAGAACAAAACCCTGCCCGCTCCTACGCCATTCTCACAATTGTTCTATGTTTGAGTTCATCGATGCAGCCACTGTGTCAACCCATCTTGTTGAAAGCTTCTTTTTCACTATCCCACTGGAGTCCCAAGCATGGTGCTCTTCTCCAGTGACTAGTCTCTCCTGGAGAGAGAAAACATTGACGTTATCAAGGATTTCGTCTTGCTTGAATTCATAATCAGTGCTCATGGAAGCAGCAGTCAAGAGACCCAACAATGCTTTGCATTGGTTACCAGTTGCAGGAGATCTCTATAAAGTTTTCAAAATCAAGGATGTTACTTTAAGGACTAAGGACTGAAACCATGGTATTTTCAGTTGCCACATATGCCTGTGAAAGTTAGACATTGATTAAGGAAGACCAAAGAAAAATCCATGCATTTGAATTACAGTGCTGGTAAAGAATATTGAAAACACCATGGACTACCAAATGAACCAACAAATCTATCTCAGAAGAAGTACAACCAGAGTGCTCCGTAGAGGCAAGGATGGCGCAACTTTGGTCTGGTACTTGGTTGTCAGAAGAGACCAGTGTTGTAACATTACAACCTGGAAATCCCATTAGGATAGGCTCTACTCTGCCACCTGAAGTTGCTGTGAGTTAAAATCCTCTTGACAGCACCTAGCAACCAATGCATAGATGTCTTTATTATAATATTACATGTTTATGTTTATAGATGTTTGTGGGTTCTCCTTTAGGAAATGGTGTGGTAATTCATCTCCCTGGATTGTTTGAGGAAGCAGAGAAAAATGTTAAAAAAGGAAAAGGTATGAAGGAATGAATCTATTTTCCTTGATGTGCAACTAATAATTTTTTTGGTTAGAATTGTATTAGGAGTTCATGCCAGACAAATTTAACAATTTTTGGTGTTAGTAATACATTATGAAGTTGCAGGTTGTAGGACAAACATGTAAAATGTTGGTTATTGAATTTGATTCTTTTTTATTAGTGTTAAGCAAAAAACAAATATGAGGGGGTTTCAAAAAGTTTGTGGAAAACTGGAATTGAAAGATAATAGAGTTTGCCTGTGAACTTTTTGACTTCCCACTTCTTATCATTGTTAACACAGTGATAATCTGCAAACTTTAAATTGGGGTACCTAAAATTACTGCAAGCTTTATCATAACTACCCAAAACCCAAATTTATTGTCTTCAACTTGATTCTGAATCATAGCAATCCAATAGTTCAGTGTAGAATTGCCCTTGTGTGTTTCTGAGACTGTAAATCTTCACAGGAATAGAAAATCCCCTCTGTCTCTTGTGTGCAGTGGCACTTGGTTTTGAACTGCTGGCCTTGTGTGGTTGCCAACTTACTACCTAACCCACTGTACTACTCGGGCTCTCTAAGCCAGATCTTGGTTTGGAAAGAATAGGATATAAACTTCAGAGCCAATGATAAAATACATTTGAAACCTACCACCAACATGTAACTACCTTCATGGCCTCGTGGTATGAATGAAAACTCATGCCTTTTGCCCTCAAGCACTCAATAGTTTATAGGGAGAGGCAGGCTAATAAATAAATAATTATAGGTCATTGTGATGCATGAAGTAATAGAGTGCTTTTGAGGATTTAATTAGGAGGTTTCTTAGTTTACTCACACATTCTATAATTGCCTTTTGGCAAAAGATGCCATTCTCAAAATTATTCTTATTCTATTGAATTTGTCCTTTCCCACTACCCCCAGTTAAAGAAAGCAGTTTTCTACTATTTACCTTTCAAACTTCTAGAAATACTTTGTGTGGATTTTGCTAGGTTGTAGGCTGGTGCTCTTTAGAACAAAACACCTGAAAAGGTAGGTCTGTGAGTGAGTCTGTGTATGAATGACAGGCAGGAAGGTTCTTAAGTATGTTCTTCTGCTGTAGAAAATAGACTAATGTGATTTGGTCCATCATTGAAAACAGACAATGTATTGACAGTGTATTGATAAAGAAATTATGGTTAAAATTTTTCTGTACAAAATGTTCAATTAAATGCATCTTTTTATTTCTCTCTAGGTTTAGAAGGCTGGGAAAAAAGACTTATCATATCTGACAGAGCTCATATTGGTAAGGGAACAACTATATTTACTTAAACAACCTTATCAAATTTATCAGACGAAAGCATTTAATGACCAGTTTTGTCTGTTAACTTTGAGTAAACCTATGTAGAGTGGATTGTAATAGCATAACTAGGCTACATTCCAGTTTTTCAGTAGGTAGCATATGATCAAGAACTAATGGTACTAATGGTCCCAAACTGCATGTAGTGAAGGCATTAACCAAAAACTAGGTTCCGGGAATTGACAGAAAACCAACGGAAGTGTTTCAACTTAAGTGTACATTAACCAGGGGCTGCCAGAAATTCAAGCTTGATTCAGAAGGAGACTTGAAACATGGGATGTTAATTGCTGATGTCAGATGAATCTTGGATGAAAGCATAGAATACCAGGAAAATGTGAGCTTGTGTTTTATTGATTCTACACTGGCATTCGATTGTGTGGATCATAACACACTATGGATAGTCTTGAGAAGAATGGGAATTCCAGAATACTTCATTGTGCTCTTGCAGTATATAAGGGGGTACCCCCAAAAACTCAGAATTGTTTTTCAAAGTTATGAATTTAAATTTTTTACAAAACAACCTTATCACCTTCAGCGATCATGTTGGGAAGGTGAACATCGTGGAATGCCAGTTTAATAGAACAAAGTGTTCTTGTGTTGAGGGAGTACTAGAGTAGAGGCCCAATGTCTATCTACTAAATACTGAACCTATAAATATATGCACATAGATCTATTTCCCCATCGTCATATATAAATATATTTACATATGTACATGCCTGTATTTGGACCTCTATACATGCTCTTTGCCTCCTAGTTCCTTCCTCTATTTCCTTTTACTTTCCTCTTGTCCCACTATCATGCTCAGCCTTCATTTGGTTTTCAGTAATTTCTCTCAGTTACATTGCCCTTGATCAAGCCCTACCAGGCCTCTTACACCCTCCTTGCCACTGATTTTGGATCACTTGTTGTTCCCTTGACCCTGGGTTAGTCAACACCACTTCCTTTCCCCCACCTTCCCCTCTCCCATGTCCCCCTGAAACCAATGTTCTCATTGTTTTCTCCTCCGGATTGTTTATCCCACCTATCTTATCTAGATAGACCTGCAGAGATAATAATATGCACAAAAACAGGACAGAGCAAAACAAAGCAACAAAAGAAAACAAAACAATAACAACAACAAAACCAGCCACACAAAAAAGAAAAGCCTGTAAAATAGTTCAAGGTCTGTTTGTTGACCTTTAAGAGTGTTTTCTGGTCGAGTCTGATGGGGTGCTAAAGTCTGTTTTTGGTATTCCCTATGGACTTCGTTGCTCATCTGTTCAATTATTTTACTTCACTGTTTCTTCCCTTTGCCTTAGGTGTTTTATGATCAAGCACATTTCAGAGTCTTCTGACATCCACCTGGGTCTTTTTTTCTTATCTTTACAATGACCTTTTGCTTTCTTCATGTGTGATGCGTATGATGTCATTTCACAGCACATCAGGTTTTCTGTCATTAGTGTCCAGAGTGTCAAGTCTGTTCTTGAGATGTTTCTGAAATTCAAGTGTGATGAACTCAAGTTTGTATTTTGCCTCTCATGGACGTGTTCGAATTCTTTATAGCTTCAATCTGAACTTACATATGAGCAAGTGATGATCTGTTCCACAGTCAGCCCTTGACCTGGTTTTAGCTGCTGATATTGAACTTCTCCATGGTCTCTTCCCATTTATGTAGTCAATTCGATTTCTGTGTATTCCATCTAGAGACGTGCACAAATATAGTTACAGTTTATGCGGCTGAGAAAAGGTATTTGCAATGAAGAAATTTGTTGGGCTTGCAGACTGTCGTGTCCTCTTCAGCGTCTTCATTTCTGTCATCAAGACCGTGTTTTCCAACCGTGGCGCCCTGCAGTTTTCCCATTCCAGTCATCTGTAGTTGTCAATGCGCCTTGACTGCACATGTTGTTAACATTCTTCAGTTTTTTATCACTAGGTTTAGTGATTGATGTGTCAATTTGAATACTAGGTATGATGACTGGATTTCCGGATATATACACAGGTAATATAGGTATTATCCTATCATAGGCAGCAAACTACTTCAAGGTGGATCTTGAAATGTTCTTTTTAAATTAATGTGATGCCTTTCTTCTTAAATTTACCATTCTGGCAGAGTAAGCTTCGTCTATGTCTGACAAATTTGTACCACTGTTCATGAGGTTTTCAGTATCTGACAGTGTTCTGTTCTATTCATAAGCTTTTCAGTGACTAATTCCCTTGAAATGTGTACCTTTTTCTTTCTTAGTAGTCTTTCTGTAGTCTGGAAGCTATGCTGAAACCAGCTCACTTTGCAGGTATTTGAAATACACGTGACATAGCTTCCATGATCACAGCAATATTCAAACCACCACAGTAAGACTAACAACTTGTTATTCTGATAGAATTTTCGTAGCTGTGACATGATTAGGAAACTACATTTGCAAATGAAATAAAAATTATAAATCATGTTGGAAACTTCTGAAAATTGATTTGAACTTTTAAATTATTTTTAAATATGCTTGAGTCCTGAGGGAACAGCTGCTCTCAGTTTTGCATTGACCTCCATTTCATTGACAACCTCATCCAGGCTCTTAATGGTCTTCCCTAGCGTAGTACAGACGTCAAATAAGAATCGCAGACTAGAGGCCTGTGTGTTACATCAATTCAGTAAAGTCGTTTTTATAAATCACTTTTGCTTATGCTAAACTAAGGATGTTCATTAATTTAAACTATGAAGATATGAATCAGAAGGACAGGCCTGGCAATCTACTTTTAAGAGTCAGCCAAAGAAGACCCTGTGGTTTCTAACAGTTCAGCCTGCAACCAGTACAGGGATGGCTCAGCACCCAGCACCATTTGCTCCATTGTGCTTGGGTTTGCCGTGAGTTGGAGATGACCTGACAGCAGCTGACAACAACAACAGTAATACTGTATTTTCTTTTCATTTTTACTTTAACACAACATTTTTTTTCCGCTGTGAATTGTAGATTTTAATACTGAGGGTATGATAATTATCATAAAGATCTAACTTCCTACTGAGAAACTATTTTCTCTGCTGAAGGAGAAAGATAGATGATTGGGTTATAGGAATGCTACACATTGCAGTAACATTTTCAGTATTTTACAGTATTTGAATTGTTAACATTTCTTTGATGAAAAAGATTTAATTTACTCTTATGAGAAGTTTCTCAGAACTATGTTGCTTTTATTGAGCAAATACGATGTAAATAATAAATAATTGTATTTATACTGAAGCTTTTTTTGTAGCTCTCATAGTACTTAGTATAGTTACTGTGTGTGTGTGTGACAAAATTGACCATGTATATTTTCAGAATAATAGGTAGCATAGATGCCTAACCAAGGCAAAAAAAACAAAGAAAGCTTTACAATCATAATTTGCAACTTGGTTAAAGATAAAAGGAGTTTTGTTTTGTTTTTTGAAGAAGAACATTATAAGTTTGCCACTTTTGTTTCCCATTTTAAGCATCTGATTAAAAAAAAATGTTCTCTCCATCTGCCACCTAAATAGCTTAGCATATTTTTTATGGTTACTAATTTGTTTTAGAATTTTGATATATTACTATTACAATGCTGTTTGTAGTAATATAGTAGTATTGATGTTTAATTACTCTTACTGATAGTCTCCTAGATAAGAAAAATATTACATTTGTGTGAAGTACGTTTATAGTATTTTTGATGCTCATATGCATTTCTCATTAACTGTATATACCCCTCTTAGGGTTTTTATGTATAATCTTCTGGTATTCATTGTCCCTGCCTTGAAGATAAGTGAAGCAATGGAGTATTAGATGTTAGATGAAGAAAGATTATTATCTTCAGAACTTTCTAAGTCTGCTATGTGAAATTTGGTACCTTAATCAGGATTCTACAATTTAGGATTGCAGAATAAGAAATACTTTGTTCCTGACTTTTGAGTAGCGTAATGTCAATGTACAAATCAACTAGTTGGTTTGACCCTGTGTAGATATAAACATACTGATATCAGCCAGTCAGAAAAAAATATATAGTGACACATGACATAAGGGTTTAATATTCTTCATTGTAGATTATTTGGATCTGTTACTTACTGTAAACATCTTTGTCAGACAGGGCAAGATATGACAAAATACCCATTTATAAACTATCAAGGGCTCATGTGGGAGGGGGGAGCGGGGAGGGAGGGGAAAAATGAGGACCTAATGTCGGGGGGTTTAAATGGAGAGAAAATGTTTTGAGAAATGATGTACAAATACGCTTTACACAATTGATGTGTGTATGGATTGGGATAACAGTTGTATGAGCCCCTAATAAAATGTTTAAAAAACAAACAAACAAAAAAAAACATCTTTGGGTACATCACATTGGTTAAGTAAGATACTTGATTAACCTCCAAAAAAAAACCAAACCACCAAAAATAAAAACACAGTGATAGTAGACCCATTTTGAAGCCACTTCTGTGCTGGAGTTAGGTCTCTTAATCATGCCCTATTTCTTTTTCGGTGTACTTGGTGCAAATAAGTTGTGGAGAATCAGCTAACAGCTATGGGTGAATTTTGGCTTTCATCCACTAATGAGGAATTTATTCGTGACAGAAATATTTTAAAAGAATAATATTTACAGTGAAACCAGCAGTACTCAGCTCTGTTCCCATTACTGCTTCTCATTTTGCTGTTACAAGTAGATAGTGGCAGTGGTTCTGATTCTGAGCCCGGAAAAGGCAAAATTTGGAACACTGGATAGTCTTGACGTTGGGAAGCAGATCAACTACAAATGTGAAAAAGAGAGAGAAAAGCATAAAGAAGGAACAACAGAAGAGTGACGCAAATGAGCTTAGAAATCTTGCTTTTGAGAAGAATCCCCAGAAGCATTCCATGCCATTTGTAACACCCAACACGAGCTTTCATTGTCCAACCAAGTACCGAAGAATTCACGAGAAGAAAATTGGCGAGCATGGAGACAGAGATGAGCAGCTGACATCTGAAATGTTTGAA